ATTTGATTTGACGTTGATGTAACAGCTGATTTAACTATCAGCTGTTCTTTTGGTAATATGAGCTATCAAATAAGGTAGATAGATGATGAATTAAAACAGCTGTTGCTGCTGTAATTATGAACACATCTTCATTAACAGATTGTACCGAATATGAAATAAATGTCCAAAGAATTTATTGAGTACCTCATGACATTATTTAAATAGAAGTTTATCTTTTTTTACTTATAACTGATACAATGTCAATGAACAGTAGCTATACTCTAATCTCAAAAGGTGCTAAGCCATATTTTTATCTAATTTGGCTAATGTCGTAAAAGATAAAACAACCGACATGTGATAAATGACGCAGTACTTAGCATATCTGCAAGAGGCTAATAGATTAACCTAACACTAAATGTGGGAAAATGTAGGTTTATCGCGTGATATTTTGGATATTTAGAGAGTATTTACGTAAATAGATAGCCATAGAGGTGACTATGCAAATTCGGAGATCACATCACTATGCTGATGAATAATCGGTATGAAATGTTGACAGTTAAATATACTGATCACATCAGGGTATTTGCGCAACTAGATAACAATTCAGGTAATTCATGAATCGGAATTCCGAACTGTTGGGGGGGAAATTGATATGAAATATTGACAGACAAATAGACTTATCCGGTGTCAAATGTGTTATAAAAATATTAAGATATGATAATTTAAAAAGTAATAGTTGATACAAACATGACCTAATACTTTACAATAATTATGGCTGTTAATTATTGAGAAGTATTAGAAATTAGGATTGGAAAATTTATTTTAATTTTTATATTGGTAGTAATATAGTATATTGGTAGTGAATTCTCGTAGTAAAAATTAGGTCTGTTTCTAAAATCGAAAATTTCTAAATGTTTTAAGTGGAGTTTGCCAAAAAGTAAATTGAATAGACATACATTGGATAAATTATACTGTCATTATATTCAAATTATATTTTTGGCTGATTTTAAGGAAGAAAGAATTATAAATCTGCGAATAAAAATTTTGAGTTATAAAAGCAATTTTTATTTGAAACATCATTATGGCATTCAACGTAGATTGACAGCCCTAGTTTGCAACTCTACATAATGGTACGTTTACATGGGACGCATTTATGAAAATAAAAACAAAAATCAAATACGATTTATCATTTTAGAGGAATATGAATACCCTTACGTTAATCTTCTTATAATATTTCACAATTATGGCTGGTAATTATGAAATATATAAATGATTATATTATTGAGGCTAAAAGAGATTTAAACTATAATTTTCAAAAGGAAAAATATTTATAGATTTTTTGTACAGAGAGAGAATTTTTGGAAATAAAAACCTGGCTGTAATGATTTTTTTCTGAAGAAATTTCAATAATTTTTGGCTGTAAATTATGAACATTTCTCAGAAATATTTTGGTATGATTGAAACTGAATTTAACCATCTTATAGACAAATATAGATAAATTAGGATTTTTTTTTGAAAATATACAATTTGTGTCTGTATGCACTAAATTCTTTTCAGAAGCAATCGTATATTCATGTCAATGGGTTTTCCTCCATGTAGATGTTCAAGTATGTCGTCAATGTAGAGTGAGAATAGAATAGGGGACATCCTTGCTTGACTGCCGAGGGTATGGTTGAGCTAATTTTGAAGATTTTATTTCTAATTCCACTCAAATTGGTATCAAATCGAATTGGTACAAATATTATGTTAATTTCTTTCTGAAGAATTTTTAATAATGGTTAGCTGTAGATTATCAAAACTTCTGAGAAATAACTTCTAGTTCTTGCTGAATTCAAGTTTTATTAGTTGAATCGTAAGTAGAAATGAATTTTGACAACTCAAATGTATATCAGATGATTTATTCCGGCGAATTAATTATTCTTATTTTTATCACGTATTAAATATCTATCCTGGAAATCTATCTAATCCTGTAAATAGGTCGGAAGCAAACCGAATTCCTGAAAATACAATCTTAATTTCTTTCTGAAAAAAATTTTAATAATTTTTGGCTTTAAATTATCAAAACTTCTTAGAAATTAAAGTTATTGACTTCCTGAATGGAAAAAAAATCCTGAATTAATTTTTCAATGTTGCTGAATATCTAGTTTTATTGCTGGAATCATATGCAGAAATGATTTTTGACAGCTCAAATGAATATCAGCTGTTCTTGTCCGATGAATTATTCTTATTATAACGTATTAAATTAATCCTCGAAATAGAACGGCAATTTTTTCGAGGTTCATAGAACATACCAACTGGAAGGTTATTATATTCCGGACAAGCTTTCAAAAGGTTTTCTAAAGTTTTTTTTCGAGGTCCATAGAAGAGACCAACTAGAAAGGCTACTAGATTATATATTGGTTTTCTATTCCTGACAAGCTTTCAAAAAGTTTCCTAACTTTTTCCACATGGTTCATAAAAATAGAAAAACAATATGACAGCTTAAGTGGCGAACAGCTGTTTCTCTTAAGCTATTTAATGATCCTTGATTTCTTTACTCTTTTCGACTTGTCTTGTATTTTTCACCTCTTCAGTGTAAACGTAGCATATGCTTTAATACTATTAGATACAAAACATATGCATCAGAAACATGATGCAATAATAAGGTGATGTATCAAAACAAAAACATTTGTTTTTTTTTCTCGACAATCTGTCAAAATTTTCCATACAATATTTCACATGGTTGGCAACATTGCACATCGAATTCAAGTAGAAATTACGCACTTTGACAGTTAATCAAGACATCAGCTGCTCTAAATGGACTACCTATTCTTTGTGCCATGAGTTGAATCATAAGCAGAAATGACTTTTGACAGCTCAAATGGATATCAGCTGTTCTTCTCCGAAAATTTATTCTTATTATTGCGAATTAAATATATAAATTTGTTTCGAGGTCAATAGAACATACCAAGTACAAAGGCTTTTAAAAATATATTGACAGCTATAATGGCGATCAGCTGTTTTTTGTTATGATATTTTAAGCTCCTGAATTTCTTTACTCTTTTCATCTTATCTCTTCCGTGTAGTCTTGGGCAATATCGTTCTTTTCAGTGATCGAACGAACTAGATCATTTCATAAAAGTGAAATAGGTCGTTCACCTCTTTCTGTTGCTTATATCGTTCAAATTGTTACTCCGTTCAATTGGCAATTAACTTCCGGCAGTTCAACCAATCGTCCAGAATGATGACCTTTCACAATCATTCGAAGGACTTTCCTATCTATTTTCTCCACTTTTTAATGGATGGTGGTCCGTTGAGGACACCTTTGACTCTTTTCCGTGATTTCCATCTCCTCTGGTGTTTATGGGTGTTCTTTGCTTTTAAATGACGCTTCATATTTTACTGACTGATCTTTTAAGCACCACATTCCATGAAAAATAGCTGCAATATATTACATCATTCAATTTAACAGACTTTATATGAAATTGTTCTTATTTGACGCCGTTCAGTTGGTCAAAGTCAGTGCACATGTGATGTCGTTCAGTGACCGACGGCGTTCATTGAGCAAAGTCGTTCCGTGAACGAGTCTAAACGAAACCAGAGAGTCACGAGTCAGGGTCATACTTCTTCGCAGGCGTGAAAACCAAACGAAAGAGTTTGCGGCTAGCGGCACAAAATGTCAATTATTTGTTTTCATTTTCTGACAGAATATTGTACGTTATGCAAACCAAAATCAATTTATTATTTAATAAACAATAAAAATTATTGAAAAAAATATTTATCTTCCATTTTATTATTAATTCGTTAAAAAACGTCCCCAATCTTTGAAAATATTTGTTTTTTAACAGCACTGCCATATGTTTTGTTAAAAATTCTCATTGAAATTTGGTAGCACTGTTGATTTCTACCTAAAATATGGCAACTCAATTGAGAGCAAGAGAATAAATTTGAGTACGACGCTGAGCAAAAATGAATAAAATCTATTCTAGCGTCAAGACGCGAACGTCAGCCGTCGCGATTTCCCCTTGCCAATAAGACTAGACTCTATGGTTGCGTTTAGACTCAACGACGTTCAGGGACCGACTGCGTTGGTAAACAAAATCGTTCAGTGAACGGCCATAATAAAAAGTGAACTATGTCGTTTGCTCGTTCGGTGGACTGACTCGTTCAATTGAACTAGGTCGTTCACGAACGACACAAGACTACTTCCATGTAAACGTAGCATACGCTTCAATATAATTCGCTATAAAACAGATGTCTCAGAGCGTAATTTCTTTAAAATATTTAATATTATAATTCTCTCTACCTCTCTCTCTAATTTTTTCCCCTTAGAAATGAAATCTCCTAAACCAACCACTCACTGGCAAATGAAAACTTAAGCGGTTTACAACTTTTGCTGAGTATAATCGAATATTTGTTATTGTCCTCAGCATTATTAGCAACAGCAGCAGCATTAGCGGCGGCGGCGGTAAACTCCGATCCGTATCCGGACGACGCACATGCAATATTATTATCGTACAAATGTGGCGTTTGTAATATACAAAAATTTCTACTTAATAAACGACGATGATGGTAATGGCCATGTCGGCGCACTTGACTACAATTAACTAAATTCTTTCTATAACTATTAATATTGATCGCGTCAAGATCTTCGGAATAGGAATGCCTAGCAGGATTACAATTATAATAGGAATGGGAATTATGGTGACCATCTGTATCCTGTTCGTTGGCGATCTGTTCCGAATTCTTGACATTTTTGTTAAAGCTAATATCATAGCCTGGTTCTGGTTCCAGGTGTTTACATTTACCATTTAAATAATTTGTTGTGGTTGTTGTATTATAATACGACGAAGCAGCATCTTGATAATATGAATTATTGAGATTTTCATTTTCACTTAATTTACTACAAAATTTTCCATTTAGTTTTGTTATTGTTGTTGGTGAATATTGTTGTTGTTCTTGTTGTTGTTGTTGGTGATTATGATGATTTTTGAGCTCACACTCTTTTTTGAACCAATTATTATTAATAATACCTACTTCGCCATGTCACACATTGGTACCCTGCTGCCCGGGTATGGCTGTACCCGGTTTTGTGTCCGGTTTAAATGAGGCATCGTAGCGCTCACGACAATTACCCTTCGAGGCAAAGAAGAATTTGTAGATCATATACATGGGTATACACAACACCGAGGAACATGTGACCGCCCAACCGACTTTAATACTCCATTGCGGATATTTATATTCGGTGCCGAGCATTTCTTCATAGCCCAAAAAGGAGAAAATGAAAATGGCCTGAAGTGAGGAGAAAAAATTTATATTAGAAACTAAAATCGAAAAAAATATATTTTATGACTCACCAATAAAAACACCGGACTGATGTAGGTCCAACATATGCGCCAAAACAGACCGGGTCGTTTGCCCAGCATCATTTCCACATCACTGGAGAAACGATCGACGCCATAAAACCAAAACACGCCTGCTGCTTCCACAAATACCACAAAGAGAATGGCCAACCCGGGACCATAGACGTTAAGGAAGTTCACCAGAAATACGCCACCCTGTAAGTAGAATTAAATGGATAAGATAAAAAGTAATCTATGGTATGTGAAAAAATATATTTTTAGAAAATTCTTCGCCTCAAGAAGTACAAAGCCGATATTATTGCCTTGCAGAAAATGCGATGAATATGGACTGGCGTAAGTGAATCAGATGATTGCGCCCTGGATTATAGCTGCCATGAAACGAGACGTGAATTTGGCTGAGGATTTATGGTTAACAGGAGAATAAAAGACCTCGTCTCCAGATTCAATCCAGTAGATGATCGAATTACTATAATCCGTGTAAAAGCGAATTTCTTGTACATCAGTCTTATTTGCGCCCATGCTCCGACGGAATACAAAGATGAACACAACAAAGACATTTTTTACGAGCGCCTAGAAACTGCATATGACCGCTGCCCTGGCCACGACATAAAACATCTGCTAGGAGATTTTATGCTGTAAGTAATGGAATAGTTTGACCACCCACCTCCAGGGTTTTTGTCCCCGCGGAACAAAACTAACTATGGGATGTTCCCCTAAAACAAAAAACAAAGATGGATAAAGAAGAAAAAGAATAAAAGTTACGGTGCAGAGCATAAATAACTCAGTACCGGCGGGTGTCGTTGATCTGCCCACGAGTCAGGCACCGTCGTCATCCTGCGATCGTGAGCAACAATCTCCTACAGATTTGGGTGTCTTTGCATCTGTAGACGAAGGTATAGCTACAAGCACTCAGCCTTTGGGCAACACCAACTGGAAGTTAAGGAACCACAGGGGAAGAGCAATCTCGACCCAGCCTTCAGAGACAGGAGGGGACTCTACTTCGAACTCTGAGTCTGATCATGATAATTAGATAAACATAACTGTCTGGCAGACAAACATAACTGTCTTGGAGAGCCGGAAGAGAAATGAGGCTGACAAGATGATAGAGGAGGTGAGTAAAAATATCGCCAAACTCACAACCAGTAAGAAACAGTGTCTAGGGCAGGCACAAAGGCGGAAGTTGGCCAGAATGAACCGGATGAACAAAAAGAGCGAGATACCGACAGAGGCTTAAAAGGATAAGCCTGATCTTCCCTCCACTTCTGCGGAAGCGGCGAAGAGGATAAGGTCTCCGGATGAGCAGGCGACAGTCAAATCCGCCAAAAAGAAAAAGAGCTTCCCGCCGACCGATGATAAGAGAAAGTTAAGTCAAACCAGCGTCAAAGGAGACTGTCACGAGAATTCACTGACGAGGGTAGACGAAGATGGCACTGATATCAGGAAGGCGAGTGCTGAGTCGGAATCTTCCGCAAAGACCGGGAATTCCAAAAGGACCAACGAGAACTTGCAAAAGAGGAAGATGACGGCAACAGAGGAGTGTTTGAGAGAAAAATTCTCTGGAAGATCTATGGAACGATATGCGTAGATAGTGAATATCGCCGTCGAATGAACCATGAGCTATACCATAGGGGAAGGCCACGAATCCGAGGGATGAACAAGTAGAAGACAACATCTCGGAAAATGGTCTTTCAAATTGCCTGACCTTCCATCCACATCTGCGGAAGCGGCGAAGAGGAAAAGGTCTCCGGATGAGCAGGCGACAGTCAAATCCACCAAAAAGAAAAAGAGCTTCCCGCCGACCGATGATAAGAGAAAGCTGAGTCAAACCAGCATCAAAGGAGACTGTCATGAGAATTCACTGACGAGGGTAGACGAAGCTGGCTCTGATATTAGGAAGGCCAGTGCTGAGTCGGAATCTTCCGCAAAGACCGGGAATTTGCAAAAGAGGAAGATGACAGCAACAGATGGTAAGGAGGAGTGTTTGAGAGAAAAATTCTCCGATCTATTGGCCGATCTGCGTCGATAGTGAATATCGCCGTTGAATGAACCATTAGCTATATCACATATTCTCGGACATTGACATAGTGAGACGAGTCGAGCTGCAGCGACTACGTTGGCTAGGCCAACTTGTGAGAATGGATGAGGATGTCCCAGCTCAAAAGACTATAAAAGCGAACCAAGTGATGGTTCACGCAGAAGGAGAAGTTCACGAATCCGATGGAAAGATCAAGTCGAATACAACATCTCAGAAAATGGTCTTTCAAATTGGATGAGATGCACAAACGACCGACGCGCCTGGAAATCTTTTTTAAGCTCGGCTTATGGAACAACCGTTCTGTTATAAGCCAGCTAAGTAAGTAAGAGCCAACCCGAAGTCAAAGGGGACTGCCACGAGAATCCATCGACTGAAGGCGGTGAAGCTGAAGTTGAAGACAACATCTCGGCGAATCCTCCTGTAGAGATTAAGATGGAAACCTGGTGATAGATACTGACAGCGTGTTGAGGATCTGGAAGAAGCATATTGAAAACTTCTGGTATCAAGTAATGGCGGTGAAGAATATACCCCAGAGCCAATAAGAGATGACGGTATAGAGTGTATACCACCTAGCCAAGATGAGGTAAGAGTAGAACAATAAAGAACTGTTTAAGACCAGTGGTTGGACGCTGGTCAGGAGCATGCACCAGCTCATTTGTACAATTTTGCTAGAGAAATGCATGTCCGTGCACAAAAAGGGATACAAGACGATATGTGCCAACTATAGTGGAATAAGTCTCCTTCCCATCTCATATAAAGTCCTATCCAGAGACACAGAACAAGCCTCCAAATTTTTAAGGAAATGGTAAAAGAAGAACTTCTGTGCGCTTTACAGAACAAGTCTTCAAACTCCTCATTCTTTTTCGAAGAATATTTTTGGTAGGGACGAAGATGTCGTGATTTTTTTTTTTGGTCCTTAAAAATAAATTTTTGTTTTACCTCCTCCGACCTGCAGGTCTTTGAAAAAATTCTTAAAGAAAATTTATTATGCAATCTTCCTTGTGCCGCAAACCTACATTTGTAATGCGTATCCTTTTAAGTGTCCAAATCAATAAATTACTTTTCAGATAGAAATTCCCCTCCTCCTCCACCCCCGAACAACATCTATTCCATCCCTTAAATTCTCCGGCCCTTGGCCCTTGCTGTTAACACCAAATTATAATTTCAAATGTAATCAAGTCAAGTGATAACAAACATTAGTTATCAACAAGTGGTAGTGGCTTGTGCCGGTCAAATCTAAAGGGGTGGACACTTAGGGAAGTCCTGTTCAATGTCCACCCAGCAGTCAGGAGGTATGGTTAGTTTGTCAGTCGATGAAGGGAAACAAGAAAAAGTGTTTTATTGCATGAGGTGCGGAAGAAGTTAAGTGGCCGATTGTGTAAATCATTTGGACAGGTAGGTGGTGAGTGCAGGGGAAGGGGAAAGAGCAGGTTGTAGTGCTACTTAACTAAACATATATTATGTGTGGTAAGAAGCCGAGTTCCGGCTAGGCATTTCTTTCATTAGCCTTTTAAATGAATATGTGATGTGTGATTTAATCTATCCCTGTTTGGTGGAGTAGGAGGAAGTGTGAGGCATTTCTAATGAATTGCCATTGGCATAATTAAGTTAAATGGATAGATAGGAAATTCAGCCTTTCCCCTAACCCTCTTCCCCCATCCGCTTCCTGGTGATTTGTATCTGAATAAAAATCAAATTTATATTTATTAATTCGTTATCTACTTACATATGTCATGGTGGGTAGGGCACACAAAAATATTCCCGCCAATAGTAATAATACAAATAATTCCCTCCTTCTTCCTATCGACCGAGGATATTCATCACACAGCGCGGTAATCATTGCCTCCAAACCGCCAAACGTGGAATCCAAACCCAATGTGATCAGCATTAAAAAGAAAATGATAGACCAAAAGACGGAACCGCTCATTGTGGCAATGGCCTCGGGATATACGATAAAAACCAAACCGGGTCCTTCGAGGCCCACACGATCGATGGTGGTCTTTTGCACATGGGCCATGTAGCTGCAAGAGAGGAGAGAGAAAAAAATTATTTTCAATTTTTAATATTTTCAATATTTCTTCTTATATGTTATGGGAGATTTGTGGACTTACCCCAATACCGAAAAAATCACAAATCCCGCCAGGAAGCTTGTCAAACAATTAATACTACTTGTAATCAAGGCATCGCGATAACAATTATTACGGAATTTGTTATAACTTGAGAGGGCGAGCAGCGTTCCAAAGCCAGGTCCCAGGGAGAAGAATATCTGTGAGGCAGCATCAATCCAAACCTAGGATGAGAAGGAAAAAGGGGAGATGGTGAGATATCGGATAAAGTGCATAGAAAAGTAGTGACCCAGGGGTCTCCACAATTTTTTTCTATTGGAAAAGCGAACCAAGGAGTCCGAATGATTTCTGTTTCTATAAAAAGTTTGACCCATGGGTCTTAATAATGTTCTTCAGTAAAATAATGCACAAGGGCCTAAATTATTTTTTTTTAAAGGTGATGATTTTTTCTATAAAAAAAATTTACCCAAGTGACTCGATAACATTTTCTATAAAAAAAAATTGATGCAATTGACCTCATGATTTTTTCTATAGGAAAAAATCGACCCAAGTGTGTCGTCGATTTTTTTCTAAAAAAGTTATCCAAGAGTCTTGACGATTTTTTTTTCTATAAAAAAATTGACCCAAGGGTCTCGATGATTTGTTTCTATTAAAAAAAATGACGCAAGGCCTCGAAGAATTTTTTCTATTAAAAAATTGACCCACGGGTTTCGATGATTTGTTCTTTAAATAAAATTGAACCAAGGGTCTTGAAGATTTTTTTATATTAAAAAATTTATCCAAGGGTCTCGATGATTTTTTTTCTAATAAAATATTGACCCAAGGGTTTTGATGAATTTTTCTTTAAAAAAAATTGACCAAAGGGCCACGATGATTTTTTTCTATTAAAAAATTGACCCAAGAATCTCGATGAATTTTTTTCTGTAAAAAATTCAACCAAGGTTCCTGATAATTTTTTCTATACAAAAATCAACAAAGTTTCACGTGGGATGATATAAAGATAAGGTAGAGCCAACCCGTGTGTTATCCAGCGTGCTGTGTGAACGACTGAAGCCAATGGTCAACGACATTATTGGACCATGCCAATGCGGCTTCAGGCCTGGCAAATCCACCATTGACCAGATTTTCACTCTGCGCCAGATCGTGAAAAAACCCCACGAAAAACACATCGACACATTCCACCTATTCGTCGACTATAATCCGTTCAGAGATGTTGAAAGCCATGTCTGTGTTTGGCATTCCAGCAAAATTAATACGGCTATGCAGGATAACTTTAACTAGTACAATGTCAGCAGTTAAAGTAGGAAAGAAACTCTCGGAGCCCTTCAATACCGAACGAGGATTCAGACAAGGTGACAGTTTGTCGTGTGACCTGTTCAACATCCTGCTGGAAAAGGTCATACGAGATGCAAATGTGAACAGAATTAGCACTCTGTACACCAAACCGCATATTTTACTCGCCTACGCTGACGACATCGACATAATGGGTCGAACATTACGAGACGTAACAGCCACCTTTGAACGAATTGAGAAGGAGTCTGCCAAAGTAGGACCGGCAGTAAATGGCGAAAAGGCCATTTTGATGGTATCAACGAGCAAGACGTCCAGTAGACTCGGACCAGCTGTGGAACTTGAAAACTACAGCTTTGAGGTAGTGAACGATTTTATATACCTCGGTACCCCTATAAACAAACGCTAATAACATCAGCTTTGAAATCCGGAGGAGAATAGTGTTGGCCAACAGATGCTACTATGATCTAAGTAAGCAACTCAAAAGCAAGGCCACCTCTCGCCAAACTCACTCTACAAGACGCTGATATTGCCCGTGCTGTTGTATGGATCTGAAGCATGGTTACTTGGGCAAGCAGATGAGGCAGCTCTTGAAGTGTTTGAGAGAAAAATTCTCCGAAAGATCTGTGGGCCGATTTGCGTCGATGGTGAATATCGCCGTCGAATGAACCCTGAGCTATACAATCTATTCTCAGACATCGACATAGTCAGATGGATCGAGCTGCAGCGACTACGATGGTTAGGCCATCTTGTGAGAATGGATGAAGATTCCACAGCCCAGAAGGCATATAAAAGCGAGCCAAGTGATGGTTCACGCAGAAGGGGAATGCCACGAATCCGATGGAAAGATCAAGTAGAAGACAACATCTCGAAAAATGGTCTTTCAAATTGGATGAGATGCGCACATGCGACTGGCGCGCCTTGAAATCTTTTTTAAGCTCGGCTTGTGGAACAACCGTTCTGTCATAAGCCAGCTAAGTAAGTAAGAGTCAACCCGAAGTCAAAGAAGACTGCCACGAGAATCCATCGACTGAAGGCGGCGAAGCTGGCTCTAATATCAAGAAGACGTGAACTGCGTAGGAATCTTCCGAAATCGGGAAATAATGCAAAGGTTGCCATGACATGCTATAGTGACAAGCTCTGTCAGTGATCGAAGATAGTAGCCCGCCGTTTGGGCAACAAATCGATCCAAGTGTGTCGACGAATATTTTCCTATAGACCCAGGGGTCTTGACGAATTTTATTCTATTAAGAAATTTACCGAAGTGTACGGATGATGATTTTTTTTCTATAAAAAAATGAACCAAGGGTCTCAATGAACATTTTTCTATTAAAAAATATACGCAAGACCTCGAAGATTTTTTTCTATTAAAAAATTGACCAAAGGTCTCGAAGAATTTTTGAAATTAAAAAATTGGTCCAAGGATTTCGATGAATTTTTCTTTAAATAAAATTGACCCAAGGGTCTCGAAGATTTTTTTCTATTGCAAAATTGAACCAAGAGTCTCGATGATTTTTTTTCTATTAAAAATTGGCCCAAGTGTACAGATGATTTTTTAATAAAGAAAATAGACCCAAGAATACCAATGATTTTTTTCTAATTGACCCTAGGGTTTCGATGGATTTTTCTTAAAAAAAAAATGGACCTAATGGTCTTGGTGATTTTTTTCTATTAAAAAATTGACCCAAGGGTGTCGATAATTTTTTTTATTAAAAAATTGACCCAAGAGTCTCGATGAATTTTTTTTCTATAAAAAAATCAGCCAAGGTTCCCGATCATTTTTTTTTTTATAAAAAATGGACCCAAGAGTCTTGATAATTTTTTTATATTGACCCAAATTTATCGATTAATATTTATTTTTTATAAAAAAAATATATCCAAAGGTCTCGATGAAGTTTTGTCTATACAAAATTGACCCAAGGGTTCTTATGAATTTTTTCTCTATAAAAATTGACCCAGGGTTTCGATGATTTTTTTATAAAAAAACCAGTAAGGAAAGTAGTAAAGTCGGACGGGGCCGACTATATGATACCCTTCACCACTATGGGTATATTAAACAGGACTATTAACATGAAATTGGATGAAATAATATATGTGATAATGTGAATCTACCTGGATATATCCATAAAGTATGTAAATCGACTTCAAACAAATATAAATAGGTCATACGTTGGGCTATGTCTGCACTTCTAGAAAACGCAACTACGTAGTTCTATGGTCAATTTTGTACGTTGTGCAAAATTTGATGTCAATCTGACTAACATGAGGAGTTTGATGTCCAATTTGTTTGAAATCGGGCGAAAATATATATGGAAGCTCTATCCAAATATTAAGCGATTTCAAGCAAACTTGTCACAGGTTAGGTTATACTAATTTCAGAACGTTTTGTTCCTATTGTTTCCTTGTTGCGTCAATTACTTAAAATATGTGAGCTATATATGTGGGAGCTATTTAGAAATCTGGACCGATTTTCTCGAAACTTGGCAGACATCACTCTAGGCTCAATTCAGTACGTTACGCCAAATTTCGTGCAAATCGATAGATATATAGGGACTTTGGGGCGCCATTTACATGAAATCGGACGAAACTATGTATGGGAGCTATATCTAAATCTGGACCGATTTTCACGAAACTTGGCAGATATCATTCTAGACCTAAATGATTAGGCTGTAGCAAATTTCGTGCAAATCGAAGGATATATAGGGACTTTGGTGCACCATTTACATGAAATCGGACGAAACTATATATGGGAGCTATATCTAAATCTGGACCGATTTTCTCTAAACTTGGCAGACATCACTCTAGGCTCAATTCAGTACGTTATGCCAAATTTCGTGCAAATCGAAAGATATATAGGGACTTTGGGGCACCATTTACATGAAATCGGACGAAACTATATATGGGAGCTATATCTAAATCTAGACCGATTTTCTCGAAACTTGGCAGACATCACTCTAGGCTCAATTCAGTACGTTATGCCAAATTTCGTGCAAATCGAAAGATATATAGGGACTTTGGGGCACCATTTACATGAAATCGGACGAAACTATATATGGGAGCTATATCTAAATGTAGACCGATTTTCTCGAAACTTGGCAGACATCAATCTAGACCGATTTTCTCGAAACTTGGCAGACATCAATCTAGGGTTAGTTCAGTACGTTGTGCCGAATTTCGTGCAAATCAAAAGATATATAGGGACTTTGGGGCACCATTTACATGAAATCGGACGAAACTATATATGGGAGCTATATCTAAATCTGGACCGATTTTCATGAAACTTGGCAGACATCATACTAGACCTAAATGATTAGCCTGTACCAAATTTCGTGCAAATCAAAAGATATATAGGGACCGTTTACATTAAATCGGTTAAATATATATATGGGAGCTATATCTAAATCTGAACCGATTTTTCCCAATTTCAATAGGGTTCGTCCTTGGGCCAAACAAATGAGCTGTGCCAAATTTTATCCAAATCGGATCATAAATGCGACCTGTACTTTGCTCACAAAAATACATGGACAGACAAACAGACAGACGGACGGACATGCATAAATCGACTTAGAAAGTGATTCTATGCATATTCTCAAAAGGAACCATGTGTCTATCTCGTTTCCTTTTGCATGTTACAAACATATGCACAAAGACATAATACCCTGTACCACAGTGTGGTGAAGGGTATAAAAATGGAGATATATCTGTCTATTTTTCTATAGGAAAACAATGTGGAGACCCGGGCAAGATTATCGCCAAGTTCACAACAAGAAAGAAGCAGTTAAATGGGACACAAAGGCGAAAGCTGGTCAGGATTAACCGTGGAAACAAGCGCGAATAGCTAACAGATGCTCAGAAGTCTAACCTTCCCTCGATTTCCTAGCAGCATCAAAGAAGTTTAGATCTCCAGATGAGCAGACGGACGCCAAACCCCACATCATATGTAAAGGTTGACAGGAGGCGCTATAGAGATGATCTCTTCTATGAAGTGAGCTATACAAAAAAATTGACCCAAGGGTCTCGATGAATTTTTTACTATAACAAATTTACCCAAGTGTCCCCACGATTTCTTCTATAGAAAAAATCGACCCAAGTGTGTCGACGATTTTCTTTCTTTTAAAAATTGACCCAAATGTACCGATAATTTTTTTAATAGACCCACGAATACCGATGATTTTTTTTCTATAAAAAAAAGCGGCTCAAGGTTCTTGATAATTTTTTTTTATATAAAAAATTGACCCAAGGGTCTCGATGAATTTTTTCTTTCTATAAAAAATTTAACCAAGGGTCCCGATTCATTTTTCGATAATTATTTTCTGTAGTAGCAAATAGCGAACCAAGGGTCTTGACGACATCGGTCTACTCACAAATTTTATTTTCTATATAAAATTTTTTCATCCGTCCCCTCCCTTCTACTTACCCTTGAATTTTTCAGCTTATGCCATTCTGGTGTTAAATAATATTTGATGCCCTCATCGGCACCGGGCAGCGATACACCTCGAATCAGCAAAATGATGAGTACCACATATGGAGCCAATGCGGTTACCCATACCACTTTGCCGGCGGAACGGACACCCTTCCACAGGGAGAAATAGACCAAAACGAAAACACCAAAAACGCATAAAGCCAATGTTGGCTTAACGGGACCCATTAAATCGAGGCCATCCGATTTGTACTGTTCCAAGACTTTGCGTCTGCAATGACAATAAGAACAAATAAATCAAAATAAATAAACATTTTATTGGTAACAACAACAACAATAGATGGTGTATTATAGTAGCCTTGCTAACCATTTAGATAAACACATTTATTGTTGAGTGGTTAAAAACATCCTTCACCGGATGAATAGATGGCTGACGGGATGTCTGTCATTTAGAGAGACAGACAATCAGACATCTCATTCCCAGGGCAGAATGTTTATTTGTTGCTTTAAACACACACATACATATGACCCACATGAGGTGGTTGGGGGGAGTTAAATGGGTTGAAGGGGAGGCTGCTTTCAAATACTCACTCGAAAAACTCTTTGGCCGGCGTTGTTTGATTGGCATTAAAGTTCGCATTCGTCACGGGCATACATGCGGCCGTATTCCATGGATTATCGCACGATGTCCAAGGCAATTTCGATGTAAACGAGGCGAACAGATAATAAACGGCCCATCCAATAATTGTGTTATAGTACATGCCCATATAAATGTCAATTAGACAGATTGCATAGCCAACACCTGTTGAGGAGATCAAAAAGAAAAAAAAAGAGGTGGTGGAGAGAAGGTGAGAGAAAAGTTTGAAAATAACACGGAGTAACTAAAAGTTTTTCGATTAAGTTGTAGGTGGTAAGGAAAAATATACACAGGATATGTGAGCATTTATAAAAACCAGGAACTTTAAAATGTTAAAGGATTTAAGGAAGGCTGAAAGGAAAATGCATTTCCACGACTGTTTCTTCTGTAGGAAAATATCGTCGAGACTCTTGGATCGCAATTAAAAAATCTGTACTTGGGTCGCTATTTTTTACGAAAAAAATGTCTACACCTTTGGGTCCATAGAAAAAAATCGTGGAGACCACTTGGTTTTTTTCGCTGAGACTCCTTAGTCTATTTTTTCTATAGCAAAAAAATAAGGATGACCCAGTTTTTCTCTATAGGAAAAAAATTGTGTAGAGCCCTGGGTCTATTTTTACTATAGAAAAATTGTGGAGACCCCTGGGTCCATTTTTTTAATTCATATATACTTCTGAGACTATATTTTAGAAGAAAAAAGAAAACCATCGATCTGGATAGCTGTCAATAGAAAACAATTCGTGGAAACTCCTGTGGAGACCCGGAGCAAAAATATCGCTATACCACAACAAGAAAGAAGCAGTCAAATGGGACACAAAGGCGAAAGTTGGTCAGGATGAACCGCGGAAACACGCTCAAATAGCTAAAATATGCTCGATTTCCTCACAGCATCTCCGGAAGAACAGACGAAGGTCAAACCCGCCAACTTATGTAAATGTTGCCAGAAGGCGCTATAGAGACGATTTCCGCTGTAATGTGATCGACGAGAATAGTACGTCCGGGAAACTAAAAAGGGAGTCCAAGCACCGGCTGCAAGTTGGGAACATCAATCTGAATAACTGTGAATAAAAAAAATTATGAAAACTCCCCCTATTTGTTTCTTTAAAAACAGATTGTAAAGACCCATTGGTCTCAAGCTCATAACAAGAAATACGCAGTTGTATGGAGCACCGAGGCGAAAGCTGGTCAGGATGAACCGTAGAGACAAGCTGTAACTGCAAACTGATGCTCAGAAGCCTGACCATCCCTCCACTCCCTCGGAAGCAGCAAAGAGGATTAGGTCTCCGGAAAAGCAGACGAACGCTAAACTCAACAAAGTCGTGACAGGAGGCGCTATACAAACGAGCTCTGCTATGAAGTGATCGACGAGAATAATGTGTCCGCGGAACTAAAAAATGAGACCCATAAGAAGGTGATAAATGCGTCAATAATATGATGATGGAACACATGCTACAAGGGGGAGCCACCAATCTGGATAGCTGTGAATAGAAAAAAATAATCGTGGAAACTCCTGGTTCTATTTTTTCAATAGAAACAATTCGTGGAGATCCTGAGCAAGGATATAGCCAAGCTCAAAACTAGAAGCAAGCAGTTAGACAGGCACAAAGGCAAAAACTGGTCAGGCTGAACCGGAGAATCAAGTGCGAACAACAAACTGATGCTAAGAAGCCTGACCTTCCCTCCACTTATTCGGAGCATCAAAGAGGTTTAGGTCTCCAGAACAGCAGACGAACGACAAACCCCACTTCTTATGTAAAGGTTGCCAGGAGGCGCTACGGCGCCTGTAAAATGATCGACGAGAACTGTGCGTGTGGGAAACTAAAAAAGGAGACCCATTAAAATGTGATGAATGCGGTCAATAATATAATCATGGAGTACCTGCAGCAAGGGAAGGCCATCAATCTGGATAGCTGTGAATAAAAAAATAGTGGAAACGCCCGTTTTTTCAATAAAAAAAAATCGTGGTGACCTCTTAGCAAGGATATCGCCAAGCTCACAACAAAAAGAAGCAGTTATATGGGACACAGAGGCGAAAGCTGGTCAGGATGAAACGCAGAGACATGCGCGAATAGAAAACTAATGCTCAGAAGGATAATCCCCTAATCCCCTTCGGAAGCGACAAAGGGGATTAGGTCTAGGGAAAAGCAGACGAATACCAAACCATAAAAAAACTAGGGCTGGGTGATATAAAGATAAGTCAGAGCCGAAGTCAAAGGAGACTCTCAGGAGAATCCATCGAATGAAGGCGGCAAAGTTAGCTCTAATATTAAAAAAGACGAGAACTGCGTCGGAATCTTCCGTAACGACCGGGAGATAATGCAAAGGTTGCCATGACATGCTATAGAGACGAGCTCTGCTAGTGGCCCGTTCGAAGTCTTTGTTGGCGAAGAAGTGTGAAGTTTTCCGCAGGAAGGATATGATCCGATCCTCAATTGAAGTGTTCACGTAGCGAACATGGAGTTCATATAAAAAAAAACGTAAATGTCTTGCTCCAGTGTAAAGTAGAGAAAATTTACTTAAACAGGGATCTATTTATGTATACAGTCCACTTAAGCGACTACGTTGGCTAGGCCATTTTGTGAAAATGAATGAGGAAGCACCAGCTCAAAAGGCATATAAAAGCGAGCCAACTGATGGATCACGTAGAAGGGGAAGGCCACGAACGCGATGGAAAGATCAAGTGGAAGACAACATCGCGGAACGTGGTTATTCAAATTGAAAGGGCCCCAGTTGTCGGTATTTTGTGGTTCTTAAACGCGTTTTTAACCGAATTCGCTGAAATTTCTAAGCGCTGAAGTTTCAAATTATAAAGATATGGTAGTCCTCATATAAAAGCATTTGCAATCTCTCGCGAATGTTCGCATTGTACGAAAAATTCACGAACGATAAAATTTCGCTGCAAGCATCGTCGATTCATTCTTTCGCGAGCATTTGTTGCTGAAGAATATTCTTTTGAAAAACTCAAAAAAAAAAAACAAATGTTCGCGAGCACTGTTAAAAACAACAACAAACAAAAATATCATAAAACACATGTCCAACAACTATTGAGTTCACGAACGTTGTTGCTGTCTTGAGCATTCGCTAGAATTCGGGAATGTTAGTTTTCATTCGTGAGAGAATGTCAGAAAGAATCTCAACAACAAAACGAAACGAACGATCGTTCGTTTGTTATGTGGGTGCGAACATTATTTGGCGAATGCTCGTTTGATAAAGAATTTATCGACATAAATTCATTCGTAAAATGAGCACAAAACGAAAAGAGTCAAAAGTCCAACGGTTTGTTATCCGGAGATTTTGGTGGCCATTGCGCGCTGGAAATGAAGCGAGGAACCTCATTTTGTAACCTTTCTTGGGTGGCGCGTGCCCACACCATCACCATGGCTGACTTTTGGTGATGGTGTGGCAAATCGAAGAGGTTTTGATCAAGTCGCTTCTTTACTTTTCGAACAATTTCTGCTGGTTTAGTTTTTCTACAGAAAACAAAATCGTGACACCTGGATCAATTCGTTAAACCTTTTGCGTTTATTTTTTCTGTAGAAATAAATTCATCGGTAACCTTTTTTTTCAATAGATAGAAGAAGAGCAGCTATTCTCTATAAAAGAAGAAAATTTCTTTTATGGATAGGAGATCATATTTTATAGACAGGAGATCATCTTCGTGGGACAATACCAAAAGATTATGATAGAGACTTAGGATCGGGACGTTTTTGATGATTGTTCACAAGGCGAACATGGATTTCTAATAAATAAGATAGTAAATGTCTTGCTGTGGGTCTCTTGGAGGAGAGAATATTTAGCTAAACAGGGATCTATTTTCGTATACAGAATTTTCTTGTTGAATATTTGTACAATGGAATAAGATAGGAGTTTTCTATTGCCACATGTGGTATATTTGGGTAAGATTACGGGGAGTAATATACACCGCAGATTGATGAGAGATAATGAAATGTGTGTGTCCACTTCATAGATGGGCAGACTTACACACCAGCGTCGATGCGTTCTCTTAACATTTTTTTGGTGTTAAAACAAAAATGAACCTTAATGAAAAGTTTTCCGCAATTTTTTTAATGAATTTATTTTTTGAGCTACCTACGATGTTATTTTTATGTTTTAAAAATATTAAATTAAATAAATTCAGCAGAATAATTCTTGTTTTTATTTCCCCTTAAAAATTTTTTAAGAGAAATTTTGCCCACCATTGGTCCACTTCATGTGTTATGGCAGATGGGTTCACACACTCTACCTCTCTCTCTCTCTCTTTTACACATTAGTCTAAGATAGGTTAAGTCATATTGTAATACTTAGTTCTTAAGGATCTCTTTTTATTTCAATAAATTAGTGATCTGTATATAAAATATTTAATCCGAATATTTCCCGGTAATTCTCAAAAAGATTGAGATTTGTTGAACAGTATCTTGTATATCTTGCATTTATGTACCCTTAACTGTATATTAAAAACAGTAAGGAAAGTAGTAAAGTCAGACTGGGCCGACTATATGATACCCTTCACCGCTTTGTGTATATTCTACATATTATCCGAAAAGACGTCGCCTTTTTGAAGGAATTTTGACATGAAATTGAACGAACTTAAATATATGATTTTTATGTCTTTCTGGAACCTATGCTATGGGACCGATTTGTGTAACTCGATTTAAAGCAAACATGACACACGCTATTCAGTATGCTGCACTGTTCAAAATTTAATCTCAATCAGACACCTATTGATTTTTTGGTGTACAGTTAACATATATAAGTCGACATATCTTGCCAGAGATTAATTTATATTAATTTCAGTACGTTGTGTCAATCGGCCTAGCTGTGGATCTTTAGTGCACAATTTACTTAAAATCGGACGAAAATATATATAGGAGCTGTACACATTATTCTAGACTTAATTCAATACGCTTTGCCTAAATTCGTGCAAATCGAATGAGACTTTGGTGCACCATTTACCCAAAATCGGACGAAACTATGTATGGAAGCTATATCTATATCTGAACCGATTTTCACGAAACTTAGCACACATCATTCTAGACTTAATTTAGTACGCTATACCAAAATTCATGCCTATGAAAAAATTATCAGGGACTTTGGTGCACAATTTACCTAAAATCGGGCGAAACTATATATGGGAGATATATCTAAATCTGAACCGATTTTCACGA